TATAATTTATGAGAATTTTTTTGACATAAAAATTATGTCTAAATTCGAACCCTAACCCTGTATTTCAATTTCGTACTCAACCGTTCTCTTTTTTCCCTCTTTTCATTGTGTGCTATCTTAGTGCATTTATTTTCCTGCGTATGGCGAAGAGTGGATACTGTATTGAAAATCTAGTGTCTATCGCCTAGTGTTTACTCTAGTGTCTATCGCTGCTAAAAAAAAACAAAAGTGAGTAAGAATGCATGTGCGGAAAAAGGGAAAACAGAACGGTAGAGTACGAAATTATCTAGGTTTAGGGTTCGAATTTAGACATAATTTTTATGTCAAAAAAAATTCTCATAAATTATAGATATAAAATACCAAAAATCATTAAAATCCGTCAAGATAGTAAAAAGTTATTAATTTTTAAAATAGTGCTTTTTAGTTGGGACACCCTGTACTTCAATAACATAGTACTATAGAGTCCGTGCCAATTTGTACAAAATTTTTTGGAGAAAGACGATTGATCTTACTTCACATAATTTTTCTTGAAGAAAAGTAAATTTTAATCCAAAAATCCTATATCTTCATTAAATATTTATTTGTTCTTATTCTTTCCTTCAGTATTTGTTTTAATCTTTGCTTTATTTTGTTTTAGGTAGCATGCTCTACATATATAATTTTCGGGTTCTGAATGACAATACCATTGTAATGTACTTTTATCCCCGCAAATACAGCATTTTCTATCTTGTGTAATACGCTAAAATATTATATTGATAGATTAATGAAAGTAAACCTTTTTAGTTTTAAACCACATTTCTTTTGGTCTAAGCTTTCCACTATTCCTTTTATATTCACCACAAACATGACATAAAAATTGTTTTTCTAGATATTTATGCCATTTTTCACTTTGTTTAGCTCCGCAATTGAAACAATCTCGTAGATTTCCTTCATTAAATTCACCTATATTAATTAAGAGTAAAAATTTTTTATGTCAAATAATGTTTGTACTAGAATGAAAATTTATTTACTTATTTTATTCCCAGTATAAATAATCCTGCTTTTTAATTCATTCGAATATTCAAACTTTTGTTTTTCTATCAATTCATTTCATATCCAATTAAATTAATTTCTGTCAAATAAATTGATAAAAGTTTGTTATTATAATATACAATGTTTTCATTTAAAAATTCTTTTTTATTTATTTTTATATTTTCTAAACACTCATCATATACAGAAGTTTCATAATATTTATTCATTTTAATGAAATTGTTATTTATGCGGATCTTAAATATGTTAAATTTGTCTAAAATTCGAATAATTAAATATAAAATACCTGTTTTCCAAAGTTTTTCAAAAATTTTTCAACAATTTCATTATTTGCAATTTCAATCAAAATTCTCTTATTTAATTGTGTGTTATATTTAGAACATTGATTTAATTTAACAACAAAAACTTTTTCAATCGGATCTATTTCAATTGTACGAAACGATCCATTATTCTTATAATGATAATCAACTATTCTACTTTTTTGTTTTACATTCATTATCAATACAAAACGATCCTTTATTTCAACATTTTTTAAATAATTAAATTCTCTTTTTTCTTCCCAATCGTCTTTTATTTTTAATACAATATTAACATTCTTCCCAACACATTTAATATTCAATAGCAAAATTAAATATAAGCAAGAAGCAACAATCATTTTAATCATCTAAATTTTAATATTAAAAATATAGTTGTTCGTTAATCAAATTTCTTAATTTAATAAAAACGAGAGATTAATTTAAGAAATAAAAATTTATTAGGATTTTATTGGAAGATTTTTATTGAAAATACTCAAAGAATTAAAAATATCCCAGTCACTAGTAAAATTCAAGCTTAATCTACATTTTATTCCACTATCCGTGTGCTACAAATGCAATTCTATTATCAAGCCCCTAAAGTTTTGGAATTTTAAAATTGTTATCCCGTTTTAAATTTGGTGTTTCAATAACGATATTTTTGTAGTTGTAACAGACTGTATTTGTAATAAACCATACAACTTACTAATGTAAATAATTCAAACGGTTAATATAATTTACTAATTATATTAACCAAAGTGCAAATTTAAAAGCAGCCTGTGAGAAAATAAATATAAATAACATAAATACCTTTCATAATTTACCGCTTATTTTTACTTAATTTATTTAGCCATTAAGGGCATTTTTAAAATTTGCCTTTTTGTCAATTGCCGCGGTTAATATAATATGTCAATACAATTTTTTGTTTGTTTATTTTTTACCTACCATATGTTTTTCACGCTGTTTTGAAATATTTGGGTTGAAATCTTAATTGTCCGTGTCCCAATTATAATTTAAAAAGATTTGATGCCCCGCATGCAATTAAACATTCAAAATAGACCACATTAATTTATATGATTTGAACCATTAAAACCTTATTTTTATTTAATTTATTTAACCATTTAGGGCACATTAAAAATTTGCACTTTTTGTCAAATGCCGCTGTTAATATATTAAGCCAATTAAATTTTTTATTTGTTTATATTTTTACTTACCATATGTCTTTCAAGCTGTTTGGAAATATTTGGTTTGAAATCTTAATTGTCCAAGCCGCAATCGTAATTTCGAAAAACCCCCTTTTATCTCTAAGACTTTTCGAAATACTCGGGTCGAAATCTTGATTGCCAATGTCAAAAATCGAAATTTCGAACAGCTCTTATTAACTTAGCATATGATGAAAATGTCAAAATGAGAAATTTATTTATATTGTCTCAACAAAATTAAATTATTATTATATTTTCATAGACTTTAAACAAGGTTATTCAAATTATTCGAATATTCAGTACTTTTGACATTTTAATTAGAATTTTATTTAAAAATAGTTTTATTTAAATTCTCTCGTTAAAATTTAGTGTTATTGTTTAGTTAATTTAAACAGACAGAAAAGCTTTATGATTTAATTTATGTTTAAATGTTGTTTTCGTTTAGCGATATCCCGATTGAATTATTTAAATTAAGGTTGTTTTTTACAAAAAAATATCGTTAGACAAATATCAAATTTAATAAAAGATATCATTTAAAATCCCAAATCTTTAGGCCTTGATCTCTGCGAGTTTTCTTCTTCTAGAAAAACGTATTTGGGATCAGGGTCATAGATCCCGCGTACTAAAGTACAGACAAGTACTTAACAATTTTGAAAGAATCGGATTTGATAGATTCATATGCTATAACAGAATTTCATTGCCAACTATGCATAGTGAAATAAAGGTAGAATAAGCTCTCAACTTATTAGTGAATAGAGTATCTTTAATAAAAATCTTCAAATTAAATCCTTATTCTTTCGAACTTTTATTACGTAATTATCTCTCGTTTTAAATAATTAACGAATATTTTAAATATTACAATTCAGATGATTAAATTGCTTATTGCTTCTTGCTTTTATTTTCTTTTACTATTGAATATTAAATGTGAAGGGAGAAAAGTTAGTATTGAAGTAAAAATCAAAGATGATTGGGAAGGAAAAAGAGAATTTATTTATTTAAAAAATGTTGAATTAGAAGAGCGTTTTGTATTGGAAAAAATTGAAAAGAAAAATTATCAGTATGACACTAGCTATAATTATAATATTGATGGAATTATAATATTGATATATTTGTAACAGACCGTAAACCACATGAATTTATATGGTTTAAACAGGATATTGCTCAAATAAAACTAAATATGAACATAAATTAAATCTTAAGACCATTTACGTCTGTCTAAACTAACTCTGAATTAAAACTCTAAATTTTAAAGGCGAGAAACCAAATAATATTTTAACTAGAATTCTAATAAAAAAAACTTGTAAATATTCGAATAAATTGAATAACCTTTATTAAAATCTATCAAAATATTATATCTAATAAAATGTCAAGAGCTAGTGTATATTAGAATAATTTGAATAGCCTTGTTTAAATCTATGAATTTAATTTCGTTGAGACACTATAAATGAATAGTCTCTTTTTGACATTTTTATCAAATGATAATTTAATAAGAGCTGTTCGAAATTTCGATTTTTGACATTGGCAATCAAGATTTCGACCCGAGTATTTCGAAACAAGTCCTAGAGATAAAAGGGGAAACAAATCTAACCAAACTACAAAATTTTGTTTACTAATTATTTTAACCAAAGTGCAAATTTAAAATCAGTCGGTGAAAAAATAAAAATAAAATAACATAAATACATTTCATAATTTGCCGTCTTATTTTTATTTAATTTATTTAGCCATTTAGGGCATTTTTAAAATTTGCACTTTTTGTCAGCTGCCGCGGTTAATATAATTAGTCAATACAATTTTTTATTTGTTTATTTTTTACCTACCATGTCTTTCAAGCTGTTTGAAATATTTGGGTTGAAATCTTAATTTTTCGTCCGCAATCATAATTTCGAAAAAGTCTGATGCCCACTGCAAGTAACTAAACATTCAGAATTTAACCCAATAAATTTGTATGATCTCAACCAATTAAAAAAATATTCTTACGCTTTGCCTTATTTAAAGAAAGGTATCCTATACTTTATGTTTATTCTACTATATTTCTAAAGCATTGTATAGCCTGCGAGTAGTATATATAGGAGTTTTAAAACATTTTTTTCAAAATGTTTTAAAACCCCCAATATAAAAACTAAAATATTCAAAATAAAATCTAAAGGGTTAAGGACGTTTTTAAACCCAACGTTGCTTAACTTGCAAGATCGGACGCGATGGCGCATTTACAAAGCGGTATGATCGTTATAATAGTTGGTTTTAATTTTTAATATATTAAATAGATGTATTACCCCCACCCCCCTTTTAAACAAAAATTAAATTTTTAACATAAAAACAATAACAAAATCACACGATAGAAAAGAAAATTATGTAGTAATTAATTTTTGAAAAATACATATCTGTACCGTATGTAAAAATTTTAAAAATATTAATTATTTATAAAATATATATTTTTAAAAATTTTTAAATAAATTTAATTATATAGAGCATAAATATGTATCAAAAAGCAGTCATTCAAAATGTGGTATCCACAGCCAGTCTGCTAGAAAATAACAACAAGCTAGATCTTAGGCAACTTGAATCTAATATTCCTAATGCTAAATATCGTCCTGAGCGCTTTTCTGCTCTAACAGCTAAGATTAAAGAACCAATAATTGCTACAGCACTTCTTTTTTCTAATGGACGAATAGTTTGTGTCGGAACAAAATCCGTAAATGCCTCGAGAACGGCCTTAGGCCATTTTGTCAAACTAATTTCTGCAGCATCAACAATATCAATAAATATGCGAGATTTTCGTATTCAAAACATCGTCTCTTCTTTTACATTTGGAGGATGCATAAATTTACCAGGTATCTTAATTGTTATCTATTTTTACCTTTTTAGCCTTATATGATTACCTAAGAATTGTCCCGCCTGCATGGCTTGCTAATCACATTTCGTATAATCCGGAATTTTTTCCTGGCATGTGTTTGAGAATGAATGAATCTAAATCTGTTGTACTGGTTTTTACTACTGGAAAAACAATAATTACAGGCGCACGTACAGAAGAAGAAATTTATTCGACTCAAAATAAAATCTACAATTCAATTTCAATGTTTTTGAAAAATTAGAATATACTTGTGTTTATTTCGGTTCGTAACTCCATCAATAGTTCGCCAAGTTTATTTTCTCCTTCCCAAATGCTTGGATCATTCAGACACGGGCTTTTAGGACTCAACCCATTACTCCAATGTAGATTTGAAGCTGAGGCATGTGTAATAAGACCATCTCCCGTTCCACGTAATTGATTGAAAAGCTGTAGATTTTGTGTAAATTTGGCCCATAGCCCTGTATACATTATCTATAAAATTTTATTTAATATTTTATTAAAAATAAATAGTTGCCTTGTCTTTAACTGAATTCCACTCGTTCATATTATAATTTTTCACACGTGTTCCAATTCGTCCTATTTTAAAGGGATTATCGAGCATAACCACTTCTGCAGCAAGTTCCAAATCCCCAAAAAATCTAGCCTTTTGCCAAACAAAATACTGTTCAATTGAAGTGAATGACCGCCTAAGCAATCTAAATGTAGTTTTAAATCGGTTGTCAAAACCACATCTGGGAGAGCTGAAAATAAAAATATTCTGTTTTTGCGCCCCAATAATTTCTTCAGGGGGTTGAGAATTTTGTTCATGTTTGAAATGAAGCCGTTCAAGCATCCGTGAAGCAGATTCTTAAAATCTTGACAAATTAATTTTCTAGATAATTGTATACCAATATTGACATCACTGATCATAATGAAACAAATCTGTAAGCTGAAAATATCTCCCAAATTGACTTTTAATTGGATTAATAAAAGTATTATGTTTAAAACATTTAATTTAAGAAAAATTTTTAATTAAAATTTATTCAAGTAAAGGATCATTAAGTGGATCGCCTCTGTATCCATAAGGATAACAATCAAAATTATCATCAACTATTCCCTTGTCGTAGATTGGAGCATAACGTCTGAATTTTGGAATTTATAATAATTAAGAATATCCATTACCTTTTTTGAGATCTGCTTGTAACTTCCCCTCTGCGCCAACTTGGTTGAAAATGTGTTCGTTCCAAGATGACAGGTTCCTGTTCCTCTCCATACGCTTCAACCATTTTCTAAGTATTTTTTAAATTCAGAAAACGATTGAAGAGTAACCTTGAATTGTTTAAAGTCAAGCGGAGAGTCAACTTTGTCCCAGCAACCGCGGCATTTCACAATAAATTTAATTTCACCGCTATTTCTGTGCTTTATTTTCATTGCATACTGAAAAATATTTGTTTGCTTAAAATTAGTTGTATACCTGCTTGCATCCACCAGTATAGAATCCAATGATATTCCATTCCCCATACTCGCGATCCATCATACCAAGCATCTCTCCCACACGAAAGGGAGGTGTTTGGCCACGTCGGTGTAAATAAAAGCAGCTATCCGTGTCAGTATACAACAACTTGCAATCTTTCTCTTTTACAATTCTTTCCATATAGTCATAAAGCATTATTCGGGCTGTTGCTGTAGTAATCAACGCAATTGCAATATTATATTTGTCATGTGGTCGTACAAATTCACTACGCTGTTTGTATGGAACGGAAAAAAGATTTGGCGCCAACATCTCTACAGCACCAAGTTCAAGTTTTGGATCATTGAGAACGGTATGTAGTTCGACAGGAGAGCTAGTTATACAATCCTAAAAATTTGTCTCTCCAAAATTTAAAGAAAAAATACTTGAGATAGATTACACCGCAGTGCCCATCGTCCCCACCTAATTAAAAAATTAAAACAATTTAGAAATTTTCTCACATTGAATTGTTGCAAGTTTTTGCGAGGTAGCGCATCCCTTCGTTTCTTTCTATCCGTGTTGGATCTAAATGGATTCCATATTCTCTCTGGTTCCTTTCAATAAATTCTCTCTTCCGCTGATCCTCGATCTCAGTTTTGCCAGGGACTATTACACTACTCGGCCAACCGCTTGCCTAATAAAAGTTTATAAATATGTGGAAATATTTAACCTCAATTTTGAGACGCATCATATCCTGAACATAAGGCCGCAACAAAGTATCTGACCAACGTTCCCAATGATAAATGCTGTATACTTTAGTAACGCGGTATCCTTTCCTCAAAGCAAGTTCAAGCTCTACTGAACAGGTTGTACTAACAAATCCTCGTTCATCATCTTTGTGTGGACACCATTCATGACCATTTTCTTTATTATATTTACTGTTTGCACGTATCGCTAACCCAGGCGATGCTTCCACGGCACACCTACGGCAGAGATGAAAGATCTGTTTATTAATAAATGGAAATTTTTAAAAAATATTAACCAATTTTCCATGTAAATTTTCAGGAATTACTGGAAGATATAAATCATCTGGAGGAATTATGAAAAGCTTGAACAGTCCTCTATATGGTTGCAAATCTTCAGGTTTAGACCAATTCACATCTTTATTTAACTCCAAAACTTTTGGATGTCCTAATCATTATAAAATTGAATTTAATATTTAAAGTTTACCGATAGGGTAAAAGGCATAAAAATTGACTGCAGGATAAAGGCTGACAACATCAAAGCATGAGATCTCATAATCTTTCTCAAAAGTTCCTTCTAAATCACATTTAAGCGAAAGAGGTCCTGTTCTTCCTCCCTTAATTTAAAATTAAAAAATAAATTGGTCAAATTTTACATGGAAAGCATCCCGAGGATAAAGATGGCCAATGTTTGGCATTTTATCAAAGAAACGAGACATTTCAGGACACTCTTCAAGGTCTTTCATTACTTCACATTCCCAAACGGGAATAGTCCAAATTCCCGCTTTCTTCAACAAACGAATACGTTCTTCAAGTTTATCTTTATTATACAGCGAGGTCTTTCCATTTAGACAAACTTCATGTGGGCGATATAAACTAAAAAAGGATTTATTAAAATAGAATCTTAATTACCATTCATGTCCGTGCCAAGCACATCCAAGAAATTCAATTGCTTGGTCCCATCCGCCATGAGTGCTTTTAATATAACCATCCAGTCGTAAAAGGCTTCCATCCGAAACACGTACCCTTTTTTCACCTTCAGGGCTTTCTTGATGTTGAATTCGAAGCTCTGTTTTGTGAGAAAGCCATCGAAGATATTTTAAAGCGATTGCAGATTGGTTTGAATCTTTATGATATCCATTGTCGGGAATAATACCCATTTGGTCCTTTTTCAAATAGTTTATACCTTAAAAATTTTAAAATATTCATTTAGGTTTAAAAGCTTACAGAAATAGCGAATACATGCGCTAGCAATTGTCATTGAATTTACAAGCACGTCATCGCGCTTTGCAGGCTCTGTAGCTAATTCAAAGAAAAGGTGTTGAAGCTTTACAAGAGCATGAGCAAGAATACGCACATCTTGTTCACAATATTCGACAATTTTTTCGCGCAAGCAAAATGACTCATTTTTATTGTTGTTATACCATTCTTCAAATTTGATTCTCCTTTCTTTCCCCATCGAATCGGGGTAATAATATTGTTGGTCAGGCAACCCGTTAAGCCGAACATTCATATTCTTGTTGAAGTTCCAGCCATGCGGAAAAAAAGATTTTCCCCCTTCGTCTATATCAAGCGCAAGTGCTTTTGGGAGCTGTTCCAGCTTGAGCATTGTCCAATTAAATGAGTCGCGGAATGAAATATAAGGACATATTCCTCGTTGTTTTTTAACAAGCACTTCGTAAAGTTTATTTCCTGTCCTAGTAATTTTTGGCTCGATGCCAAAATATTTAATCAAATCTCCCAACAATAGATGCATATCATAGCGCCTAAATAATATTTTTGAAAATGTAAAAATTGGAAATACCCTCAATAGTGTGAAATAGCATAAGTTCGTCCTGAGCGCTCACGGCCTAAGCCAACAATTAGCCATTCCAAAAATTCACGCAGAGGATTCTTAAAATCTGCAGATGTCCAGCTTCTCATTCTTGTGGCACCTATACCACAAATTTTACAATTTCCTGTTTCCACATTTTTCCAATTATCGCTGCTCATACAGCGTGCGCAGAGCAATAAAGCCTAAACTATAAGTATTCGGAATATTAAAATAAAAATAATACCGAAACACAATTTACATGGTGCAATTGGTAATTTTCATCGGTAGGCAAATTGTTTAAAGAAATTAAACCGTCATTTGTCAAACCCTCCCATTCGTCTTTATTTTTAATTGGTGAAATTAGTTCACATTCAAAATCAAATACTACCTAAATACATTTTGAATTACAAAATAATTTATAACTACCAATAGATAGTTTCGATCATTTTTAGGAACTATTGGTTGAGCATAGCATTGTTCTTCACGTTTATGGTAAGATCGACACTGGGAACAAAAATGCACGTAACAAACATGCCCATCTCTACTTTTATTATTTTGTAAAGAATCTTCAGTTCCACTTTTTTCACTATCAAATTCTTCAGCTTTCTTTTTTACCCTGTAGATTTGCCCACATATTTCACACCTATTTAATTTTTGGAAAAAGATGAAAATATAAAAATACCTTCTAAAAATTTTGCAAATTCCTTTGACAATATGCCTTTTATAACATTCTGGATTTCTAAAGATGTTAGCACATTGTGCACATTTTTGAACATATTGATCAATTTCTTCACAAGGAAATCCAAACCCTATCCCACAACATCTTGAACACTTTGCCGCACAGTTTTGTCTATGATTAATTATGCTGCGGTAAGGTGCTTCGCATTCAAGGCAGTAATAAGTATCCTTTCCATAAAGCGTGTTAAGACTTCTTATTCCAAAATAGTGTCCGTCTTTCAAGTATAAACATATTTCTTGTTCAGCCCTATCCGGGCTTTTCCATAAAGGACGCATCGTTACGTTATCTCCGAACACTGCAAGACGATATTTTCCAGGAAACTGTAGATTCAATAAATTTTGGATCAAAGGCACATGTTCTTCAACGGTATAATGATTTCCATAAATTGGGTAATTTATTTTGTATTCTTTCAGTTGCTTCAGCATTTCGTTGATTAATTGTGTTCGTCTGATTTTCGCATTTTTATTCTGCCCGTTTACAAGTCTCTGGAATTTGACATTGTTACACGTTGACCTGCCCAAAGTTACATGCAATAATTTGAGCTGAACGGCCAATAAGAGACAATGATTGTTCGCAGGCGAATTGAGATTCTCATTATGTACCTATAAATTATAATATGTTTATAACAAATTACTTACAGGGATGAGATTGTTTGCATCTATTCCAAGACAAATTTGTCGAGGTTTTCTACCATTGCCTCCCTGTCCCTGCTTCGCCAATTCGACTGCCTCTTCGTTGGAAGGCCCCATAACAATCGAAACAAAATTTATTTAATTATTAACAAATAATATTTACCTCAATATGTATAGGCTGACTGTATAGAGAGGGCCTTCCCATGCGTTTCCCACTTTGATCAACGGCATCAAATTGTTCCATAACAACCTGGGGAGTATTCTGGGCAAGCCCTCTATATGGTATTTGAATGGGTTTTTCAAGAACAGAACTTCTTATTATGATTGAACACTTCTCTGATTTTGCACCTGAAGCGTTGTCGGCCTTTGCAAGGAAGTGATCTACCAAATCTTCTAATAGTTTATCGCTGCCCTCTGGTGCATCGTCGACATTCCTAACTGTAAATACAGTTCTGAAATTTATAATTAAATTAATAAAAATTCTTATTAGACCTAAACACTCCTATTTTAAATTTTGTGCTTTTGATGTTCTCAGATACCTCTTCACTGTAGAAATGTTTGATTGGATATTCACCAAGATTTCTTTTCATCTAATTTCTAAATTAATTAAAAATTAATTATTTAAAATATAACTGCGAAATTAACGCTGAATAAATTTAATTAGTTGAAACATGTGTTTATTTTCATAGAATAATTAAATAGTATAATTAAATAGAATAATTAAATACAGTTCTGAAATTTATAATTTAATTTTAAAAAATTCTTATTAGACCTAAACACTCCTATTTTAAATTTTGTGCTTTTGATCTTCTCAGATACCTCTTCACTGTAGAAATGTTTGATTGGAAATGACCCAAGATTTCTTTTCATCTAATTCCTAAATTAATTACGAAAATTAATTATTTAAAATATAACTGCGAAATTAACGCTGAATTAAAATTGAATAAATTTTGGATTAATTATTCTATGAAAATAAACACATGTTTCAACTAATTAAATTTATTCAACGGCGGTGTAAATTACTGAACAAAAGGGTTATAAAATTTATAAAGAAAAAATCAAGTTTAGAGGTTGCTAATCTTATATAAAACTATTAAAATGTATGAGTGGAGGGGTTAACTAGCTGTTGAAGAATGTTTTAAAAATATGTGTACTACTAATTGCAAAATATTTAATAAGAGGAGGTAACTACTTATTTAAAATTGAAAAGGCTGAAGGGGGGTTAACTACTTACTGAAAAAGTATTAGTGGAGGGGTTAACTCTTGTTGAAAGTTTTTTAAAGGAGGTACAGGAAGAGGGGGAGGGCTTACTACTTATTGTAAACGGCATTAAAAATTATGCTCGCGGGTTTACTACTAATTGAAAATTGTTTAAAATTATAAAGGGGCTTGGGGTTTAACTACTTTTTGAAAAATGTTTTAAAAAGGTGTACTACTGATATTACTAAATGTAAAAATTTTTAAAAACTATCAGGGGTTTACTACTAATTGAAATTTTTAAATAGTATGAGGGGGGGCGGGGTTTACTACTAATTGCAAATTGTTTAAGATTATGAGAAGCCTGGGGGTTTAATTACTAATTGAAAATTTTTAATAATTATGAGGGAGCCTGGGGGTTTACTACTAATTGCAAATTATTAAGATTATGAGAAGCCTGGGGGTTTAACTACTAATTGAAAATTTTTAATAATTATGAGGGAGCCTGGGGGTTTACTATTAATTGCAAATTGTTTAAGATTATGAGAAGCCTGGGGGTTTAACTACTAATTGAAAATTTTTAATAATTATGAGGGAGCCTGGGGGGTTTACTACTAATTGAAAATTGTTTAAAAATTATGAGGGGGTGTGTTAACTAATTAAAAAATATTTTAAATTAAAATCGTGAAAGAATAATCCTAATGATAGACAAATTTTAAAAAGAATGAGATTTTTTAATTTAACGCGAGGTAAATAATTTAAATAAAAAGCAATTTTAAAATTATTTCGAGGGTCTAAATAATTTAATGGATGTGATGGTAATACTGTTTAAAGGATATTTATGTAAAATATT